GTACCAAGCAGGCATTCACAACCACGATAACTGCTGTGGCTGCCTGGCAGCTAAGGAAGATACTGTCATCATCCGAAAGAGTTTTAATTTTAGTAAATTTAGTGAATCTCTAAAAATCAGACAACACGCTACAAGAAAGCTGACACCAGCTCCAGCGTGGAGCTTCTTGCTCTGGAAAGTGCTACATATGAGCACTGAGCCATAGCTCAGAGATACCAGGGAGATGTCTCTGAGCTTGCCAGTACAGCTCCCTCACTGGCCAGAAACCCAAGAGAAGGATATGAGAGTGATTATGTACAGCTGAGCAAGCACAGCACCGAGACTCCTAAATCAGAGATATGGTGTTCACTGCTGGTGTTCTGGGGTAAAAATGTTTACCATCTGTGTTACTCTCTCTTTGTTACGAACACTAATGGAGCCTTCAGACATAAAAGCATGGGGGTGGGCAACACAAACACGATTAAGTCCAAGTACTTTAAAATCACTTTTAGCTGTATATTACATAAGAAAATCTCAACTCTAAATAAAAAAGGAATCAAAACCAAAACAGAGCAGTTTCAGGATGAGCTCTGGAGGGCTGCAGAGAGTTGGGTTACTCAGCCCTTGAGGTCTTGTTCTGAGCTAGCAGGCACAGACAGACCTTTTAGCTAGTGAGAAGCAGCTCTCATTTGGACAAAAGAGCAAGGTATAATGTAAGCCTTTCCCAACAATTGCCAGGCCTTTAAGCCCCATCCTTACACTGAGAACTCCTGTGGCTATGAGTTCCCAGGAAGAAGCTCTGTTGGTAGAAAGCTTTTCTGCAGGGGAAGTTCTCTGTTGCTCATCTCCCACTGCAGAGTGGTCACGATGTCCTAGAGATTGGGATTACCTGTACTGAAACAAAACCCCAAACACACCATTCTTCCTACAATCTATGCTCACTCTGCTTTCTTCAAGCCCGAGAAACAGAGCTGATGCTCACATTAGCCCAGATTCCCCCACTTCCATCCACCACAGCTAACTACTGGGGCATCTGTTCCCATCCCACTGCACACCCAAATTCTTCGGCAAACAGTGGTCAGTGCTCTGAGGCCAACTGCTCAGCTTGGGACACATGCACAGCACAGGCTCAAGACAATGCAATGCCATCTGTCAGCATGAACAACGCTTTTTCAGATGAGGTATTTCAGACAAGACAGTACGTCCTTCATGTTACTCAATCCAGTTCCAGTGTAGTTCTGGCAATGGTCTGAACCGCAAAAAGAGACAGGAATTAAAAAATCAGCAGTGTTACTGCAGCTTGTTTATCTGCAGCTGGATGGGCCTCCCAGCAATCTCACAATGCTGAACATCGTTTGGAGGCCAACTTGTGCCATATGCAGTGTGACAAAGCCTGAAACATCACACAGGTTTTAAAACACTTGCAAAGCTGGCACAGCGTTGGAAGAGCTTCCTCAGAGCTGACCCTCAATTCACCAGAGGGACCCACTGAGAGTGGGTCATTCCTTGTGAGGGGAGAACTCCCCTCCAAATGCCAAGGAACTTTTGATTCCCTCTGCCTCTCAGCAAGTGCTCTAGGATCAGAGTTAAAAGAAAAGAAGAAGCGTAAAAGAGATTGTTTGCCATAAGCAGAGCTGATTCTGGAGCGGAGCAAATAACAATGTAGGGAAACCTGCATGGAAATGAGCCAGTAATCCTAGTAATAAAAAAAAAAAACTCTGTACCTAAATGAGGAAAGAACAAACCTCTGACCAATCAGACCAGGCAGGGAAAATAATCAGATGGCTTTGATGCTATTTTTCTACTTCTTACCTTCTCTGTGAACCCTCATGTTTTTGAGGCATGAACCTAAGAGATTGGCTAAGCTAAGCACTTTTTTTCCTTTGAAAATTTATCTACCATCCAAAGGAAAAGTGGTGACCTTACACATATCCACAGAAAACATGCACTTACTTTTAACATTATAAAGCATTTACAGAGGAAAAAAAAAAAAAAAAAAAAAGAAAGAAAGAAAAAAACCAAAACAGATTCCCTTTTGCTGATACTTTGACTCCAACTTTCTGTTTCCTGCATACCCTAGAAATGTTCCTATTAAAATCTGTATTCCTTCAGTGTGAAGGAAGACCATCTGAGAATCCAGTACATCTCTTCTGATAACCTCTTCTTAACCCTCCCTATGGCTTCATTTCACCCTTCTAGCAGGACTCTGGTGGGTTAAGAGGCACCAACCTGCCCGAGCTCTCTTGAGTCTCGAAGCCTTACAGTACTACCAGTGCACTCTGCTACATGGTTATGTTTCCATCACAAATGTGCAGCCTTCTTTAGATTAGACATGGAACTTCTGACCTCTCTTCGTCTGGATATTCCTGAGAATAGACACTCAAGCTACTGTAAAGAATGATTCAAACCTGGAATTGCTTGTCCTGATTTTCTCTGTCTACATTACCTCTGCATCACTGCCCTGTAATGCCTTAGGGGACACCTCAGAGATACTCAAAAGCCAACTGGACACAGCCCTGACCGCCCTGCTCTAGTCAACCTGCTTTGAACGGATGGGTCCCTTCCAGCCTCAAACATTCTTCGACTCACTAAAATGCCACTCTGGGCTCTCCAACAGCATGAGTACATTTGTACAGTTAGTTCACAAGTAACACTGCACTTCTATTTAGCTACTTAAGATAAGTTAGGAAACACTATTGTTCTAGATTCTAATCTTGCCTGCAACACGGCAAGAAAAATACTAAGCATAGATAAACGCTGCCTCTTTTACATCTTGAGATGTTGCTCAACTTCCCTGACGTGTAAAGTTTGCTTTACAGGAAGCACTAGTACAGTTTGTGCTCCGCAGAAGCCACCACTTCATACCATAAAATAGGATATTCCCACCTTCAAATACTCCTTTTCTGAGTCACTGTGTCAAAAAACAGGCTGTGGGACAGATGCCTTCCAGGACATAGCTGTGATCTCCCTAATGCTGTGTCCAGATCTGGCTTTGGTACAGTGACCACATTGGGTTGTTCTCACTGAGTATTTGTTAAATGTTAACAGTGGGCTTGGACCTTAGAAGATTATGGGAGGAAAAAAAAAAAACAACAAAATAACACAAAACCCTCACTAAAAAAAAAAACAAGGAACACCCATAGACTAGTAACAGCACACTAACATAAGTAGTTTAAAACTCAAACATCTTTGTTTTTCCTCATATGAAGACTGACATCAAAGAAAGTGAAAGTTGGTTCTGAGGGCACTTCAGGAGAAATTACCCTGAAGCAAGGAGGAAAACGAGTTAGCAGAGGAAACACAGGAGATTACCACACCTTTCCTACCCACCAGACTTCGGGGCATGATGGAATATTCCCGTGTCTCATTCAGCTCTGCTGTGCCACATACGCTCTTTGGCACAGGGGCATTTTGTTTTCACTGTTCTTAACAATAGTGCGGGCTTTTCCTTTTCATCTGCATCGCCCTGACCTCCCTTTTTTCCCCTCCCTCCCCCCAATCAAACAATTATCATCAGATGCAGGAAGAACCTTGTTGTGGTTCTGCTGCTCATAACACAATTTGCTATGCTAATACTTCCTGTGCACCCTGCCAACATGGCACCTCTCCAAGACACAAGAATGGGGTTTGGGAGATGGTCACACAAGCATGATATTTCCTACAACTGCTCTGCCCTTCACCTTCTTTCGCCTCACTATGGGCAAGGGCTATAAATATCAAATGGCATGAATGAAATGAAGATGTAGACTGCCTGTTGCTATCAGTAAGCATGTCTGCAGCAGTGGGGGTAGCTGTCCTTCAGAAGAGCAGACATGCATGAGGTTTTATGTAATTCTCAGTGTACTTGGCACAGAAGAGAATTTCTGTGAAACTTCGGTTTCATTAAAAGTGAACTAAACTGTCTCTACTTGGTATATTCAGTTTCCTTGTTATTTAGATACAAACCACAGTGAATGATGGGAAAAATATGCAGAGCTACAAAATAGCTATTGAAGACTAATGCTCTATATTACTAGCACTGACTAAACTGTACCCCTATACTATCAGATACATATCAGGGGCAAAGGATGTCTTTGCTTCACAAGAAACAAGAGTCTCCGATGTTCCAGGTGTGGACACCTTCAGCTGAGCTATACAGCTTGCTGATACATAGCAGTTTTTCTGTAGCTTATTCTTATTCTCATGCTTGCCTTAAATGCTGCTTACACAAGGTGAAAATTAGTATCAGATTAACAGCAGTAACTCCCTTCTCAACCTAACCTGTATACCTAGCAAAAATAGATAACTACTCCTAAAAACCTTGACACAAGAAATGCACAAGAGAAGCAATCTAAGAACAGCTGAAGGAGACAAATACAGCAGAAAAAAATAAGCAAAACAAGGACTAGAAAGAACAGATGAAATATCAGAATGAAGGACCTTTGGGTATAGCATAAAATCAAGTAATATAAGCTTTTGCGATGAAAACAGGAGGATTGAACTTCGTATTGCTTCGTGTAAAGCAATAAATTCTATCAAAAGACACAATATAGAACAGCAGAAGCAGATAAGTTTAAAGACAGTACTGAACACATTCTTCCACAACAGGTTCCACGACAGGTATCCAGAATGAGGAAATGAAATCAATTTTAGTTAAGGTAAGAGATGAAAGGCAATAGTTTCAGGCATGGGAACAAAACAGTATGGAACACAAGGAAAAGACAACTCATTGTACAGTGGTGGCATCTAAAGTCTCATACCAGCATCCTACCTGCTTCAAAGTGTATGGCAGTGTGTTAAATTTGACCTCTGATATGGCCTCAAAGTTGACCTTTTTCCTCACTAACAGTCCTATCAGTAGAAATATTTTATCTCACAAACAGCCAAAATGTAACAGAACAGAAAAAAAAAACAAAAAACCCACAAACCAAAAACAGTTATTACATCAGTTTGTGAATTTAATTACACACCCTACTGTTTACTCATCTTTTGTCATGTATTCCGGTGCTTTAACAATGGGAAAACAAAATTGACAAAGACAATTTACAGGAATCTCTTTATTTGATCTTAGGATGCAACCCACAGTAATTATGAGCAGCGTGTGGCAATATTTTCTCTATTTAGGACAGGAAGTGAAAAATACCAAACACATCTAAAATTGCATTAGGGATTTATGTAGACAGAAGGTAATTACACAAAGTGGACTTTGGCCAAGACTCTCAGAATGTGAAGCAATCTCAGAACCTTGTGGAAATTACCATGGGATCTTTAGTGATAAGTGGGCGAAATCTCTGTTTAAATTGTCAAAAAAAAAAAAAAAGAAAAAAGGAAAAAAAAAGAAACTCTACACCTTTTCTAACAGCACATTGACCCTATGGCACAATGAATGACAGCAGCAGCACACTCCAAAATTCGATGGCACAGCCAATACACCGGTGGAAAAACAAAAACAAACTAGCAAGTAACAGCAACAAAACAGAAGTACGGGCATTTAAAAACAGAGCAGGAATAGACACTTTGAGTGTTTTACATGCACGGAATCACTTGCTTCCCCCTCTGACTAATTTATTTCAGATTAATAAGAGATCCTTTATCTTAGGTCAGTGCTATGACAATGGAAGCATGCCAATGTAACCTTCATTTTCTTAATTAGCATTTAACAAGAAGTTTGTCCTCCTCTAGAAATATTTCCTTCCATAAGGAAGAATAACCTTGAACAGAAGATAAACCTAAGCCAACGAGAGGAGGAAAATGAAACCAAAGCTCTGATGTATTTACATAGCTTTAAAATATATTTGTTTACATACCCCTGAAGTTTAAATAAAATAGATCCGAGTAAAAAATGACTTCATTTGCCAGAAGCAAGCACAGCACTGTATCTGTATGCATAACTACTCCAGGGAAAACCAGCCACAAAGAATGTCCCTCTTTTACACATGCTTCCTACCACGGACCATGTGGCCCCGTAACTCATTGTTTATCCAGACTGGAAACAAAAATGCCACTAAAAAGCAATCACAAGCCAGATGGCCAGTTTCACTAATCTGACCCTATTTCTTCCAAGCAAATCTAGTCAACTGTTACAACACCGATGCCCCAAATAATCCACCATTCCTATAATACTTAGATTTGCATATTTAGGTTAGAAATGCCAAACGTATCTGCATTAAGATTTTCCCCAGTAAAACAATGCTTTGTCATAAAATCCATCGCGGAGATGACTGCAGCTCTTGAGCCAGCCGTGCCCACACATTGACAACTTGCTCTGTGGAAGCACATGGAGAAAACATTCTGATTAAAGCCCACCTCTATAGCTGCAATGCGTTTGGAAGTTTCCTTTTACTCTACTTAAACCCGTACGTAAAGAGTGACAAATGCAAAGATTCTCTCTGTAGCCACCCCCATGATAACAGATGACAAGACGCAGCACAAGCTTCATCTCTTGCTAATTAAACGAATCAATTAAGAGACTATTGTTGCAACTGTGGAACTGCTGTTCTATAGCAGCAATAACAACCCCACAGGGAGGTCTTTTACTACATTAAAATGCTGTCCTCCACAACTCCATTTGATATTATTAGAAACAGTTATTTGTGTCTTGCTGTCATATTAGTAGCAAAGGCAAATTATGGAAATATGCAGACCAGAATGGTCCCAGTATGAGATCAGGTTTGGTTTTCAGCCTCCGAGGGAACAATTGCTGAAATTCCAAAGTTCCCTAAAGTTCTTTAATGGAACTGATAAATCCATCAGCGCAGCATCCATTTAGATTCTAGGTAAGGGTCACATATTTGCATACTTTCCTGCTAAGCTGATACAATTCCACTAGATAAATTATCATATTAAGTTTACCCTCCTGAGTTAAACTGATGGAGTTCAAAATTGTTTTCGATGGTTGTCATTAATCGCTGTTACATCCTAAATGCTCACTTTGAAATCTAATTGTGCTGGTGTACCCAGGGTCACATTAATAGCATTTTTAATGTTAAATCTTTGTTAAACATGCTTATTTTACTGATATTACCACTGGAGCCTAGAAGACTAATGAGAAACAAAGTATATTTATTATCAATAAAAACTTAATTTAAAATGTACATTCAGAGATTTAAATTAGCTTTACTAACTTCATCGTGCCTTTCTTTCATTAAGATCCCTGGTTAAGCTTCATAGTCACATAAATTAATACCTCCTAAACAGTTCTTGGGTATATGCCAAAGCTTCAGCTATCAAAAAGCTCTTTAAAAACACGGGCTACACATATGTTTATTATTTGTCAGTAGACATCTTCAGAAAAAAGCACTACGTCTTCACTACGATGTAACAGTCTTCATACAGTTAAAAAACAAACAAATACTTTTTTCTCAGACAAAGCAACTGATAATTTTTTGCAACATCACTAAATCTTTGTCTACCAAAGGGAATCACTTGAGTTACACTCGGATAACCTATAACTTGTGTTCCAAGAAGTTACAAACAGCTTAATCAGCCAAGCTCAATCCCTGTCCTTAAAGTGCTACCAGGCTGATTGAGAAAGAAAATTGTCAAAGGATGTATGGAAAAATCAGAAACCCTTATTTTTCCATTTGCTTGTTTGATATGGTGAGGTATAAGGTGCTTAATTTGTTATATGCGAAGAATGCTGTAGTACAGACAGCACACACTGTACAACTCACACACATGAACAACATCCTAGGGAATTCTCACCTGTCTCTGATGTGATCACACATCTTCTCTGCAAATTAAAACTTTAATTGAAAACAGAAGAAAAAAAAAAAACAAGATTAAAAATGAATAAATAAAATGAAAACCATTTAGAACATCAATGTAAAAAACCCACTTCTAGCCATCCTGCAACCTAGGACTGCATCCGCATTGGGGCACACAGGATCCATGTGACTGAAATAATACAAACTTCTGATTTAAGACATGGAAGCAAAATTCAGAAATAACTCCAAGCACTTTTTTATTTCTCCTTCCAATGGAATCCAAAGGAAGAATCCCAAAACAACCTAAGTTATGACATGGCATTTGGTAACTGTGGTATTTCTAAATCTTCCAGGTCCCTTTGAGAATTTGCTTCCAACTGTCAGCTTTGACGTATCCTCTATACTTCATGCTTTAAAACATACGAATATATAACAGAATTAAAATGAGAAGGGCATGTGTAGCTGTACCATCCACGTTATCATCCACATCCCATGAGTTGGAATAATTTTCACTTCCCAGACCTAAGGATGAACCTAAGCATCACCTAAGCCGAATCCATGCTTGCTGCATGAAATATCCACTTTCTGCAGAACACTGCAGAAGTTTCTAGCCTGTTTTCAGGATTCTTCCTGTCTGTGTTCAAAAGGAAATTTCAGAAGTTAATGCTTCCAGAAGCAACTGTCCATTTTTCCTAGTGACACATTCTGCATTGTTGTAAAAGAGAAAGAAAAAAAGGATGAAACTGTCTCAAAGCTGATGAGACTATATAAAGACTGAAAGTTCCAGGACAATTTGTAAGCCTCAGTAATGGGACAGAGAATGTGGAAGCTTACTGCTGAAGCAAGAACAGACAAGTCATTGCAGTTGGGAGAGTGGTACAGGAAATCAGCAATGAGAAGTAACTAAGCTGTAGCTCCTAGGTAACCCTAGATGCATAAATGATGAATGTGCAATAACCCAGGGAGCAAAGGCAAACATTCTGGGGAATGCCTGAACGTAAAGCTCTCCATTTCTTTATGGGCAATATACCTAATCCTGATTGTTTATGAAGCATCCTTCTGCTAACTTATCTGGAAGCAGTTCAAGTACAATCAAAAAGTCATTAATTTTCAGTGATTATTACTGTACTAGAATGTATGCCAACAATGCTAAAAAGCATGGCTTGGGATTGACCAGGACTAATTTTTCAAAATAGAGTTCTCAAACTAAAGTTGCAGACCCAGCAGGAGTAGGGTGGGGTAAATCACTAAATACTTAGCAGGTCCAGAAAATTGTAAGCACAGTATTAACGGGCTGATATTAATCATATGACAGCATAAATTTCCACAGCAAAACTTCTGACGTTTCGTAAATCGAACATGGCAAAAAACACCAAATCATCAGGAATGACACTGAAGCAATGGAAAAATCTCCAGTGAGAAGGCTGGACCAAGAAAATGTGTTATGGAACTCAGAAGTACCTAAAAATGGCATGATTACTAGGCCAAAACAGTTAGATTTCATTCTACATGGGTTCCCGCAGCATCTTCACTACTGAAGAGCATTGTCAAGTAACACTGTTGCACTGAGGGACCTGGTTGAGTGAGGAAAATATTGCTGGTAGGTGAATGGTTGGACTGGATGATCTTGGAAGTCTTTTCCAACATAGGTGATTCTATGATTCTATGAACATACTAAGAAACACAACTAACATCTGTCACATATATGTTCTTTCACTGTTCCCTCACAGGAATGTTGTAATGTTCTACATTGAAGCTCTGATGTTTTAAAACAGAAAGTCAGAAAAAAAAAAAATAAAACAAAACACCACCATGAGCAGAGGATATTGAGAAGCATTTATCACTGCCTGGGACTCTTTCTTTTGAGGGAAGTGTTCCACTAGGCACCAGAGCACTGCTGCCAAGCATGTCTTCAGCCCATAAGTGACACTGATGTAGCGTATGTGATGGAGCCAGGCCACTCACTATCTGTGCACAAGAAAGCATTTCTTTTCTTGAAATTCTGCACAGAGGACATTACACATACTCTAGAATAAATTTAATGCTTCCATAAAAATCTGCAGTTTTCTGTATACTTGCAGCTTTCTTTGTGTTAACGGCTGCCTGCCCAGATTTATTTTATTGCTAAGTCCAGCTGACAGAGGCATGAATAATCAGAAAAGATCAGTAAAACAGGAGAAATATGCTGCCACATTAACACAAGCATTTACCCTACTGTCTATGTTTACCCTATGTTATGCAGCAGAATTCATACTAAGCTGTCATTTTTCTGCAGCAATGTAGGGTTCCCTTTTTTTTTTTTTTTTTTTTTTTTTGTCTTTCACCCAGCTACGTGAAAGAGCAACGATGCTTCTAATAGACAAACAAACGTTTCACTGTTTCACTTCTCTTCAGAGTATCAGCTGGCTTCCCAAAGTGGAGGCTTGTGTTTCATCAAAAACCAGTAGCAGAACTGTTTCTACAGATCAATGTCAAAAAACCAAGTGAAACCATTTATCTAAGCTGAAAGTCTCTTGACCTGCCAAGTAGCTTGCAGCTGATCAGCTGGTGCATACACTAAGTAATGCCACACCAATGGCATCAAATTTGTCCTGTCACAAAAGTAACTCAATGCTCATAGCTATCCCCAGTGTTTCCCACTATGAAAAAAATGACCAGAGCAATAACTTTATAAACAGTTTACCATGTGGATGGCAATACATCATGATAATAACAAGAAAACAGAGTTTCTTGCTGCTAAATATTCCTTTCTCTATCTTGACTGCACTTCCATGTTAGTAAATGTTTAGTAAGAAATATATAATGGAGAGTCCAAAATGTAGTTCTAAAACCTTTGTTCAGGGTAATATCTTTCATTTGACAGAACATTCACATTTGTGCATATGTGCACACATACGTGCAGGTGCACAAATAGATTGGATGGATCCATATTTGTGGGCAATTTGTAGAGATTGTTGTTGTAAGGAAAACCATTGCTTCCTACCCATCACAAAAGCTGAGAGGTTTATGTTGAAACCAAGAGAGCACAAGGATGTTAAAGGTGCAAAGGACAAATTATAGAAAGGAAAGGGACTCAAGGGGGAGAAGGAAAAGGACCAGGCTAGAAGACCCGATATGTACTCAGGTGAAGATTCTGGCTTGGATTCTGTAGGAAAATTGGTATCAGAGCAAAACCTAGGAAACAGACTCACTACTGCACGTCTATCCTGCTCACTCAAGTTCTCTCTTCGGGTATGATCAGCAGGACATACACATAACTTATATTAAGTCAGAAATCTTGGACAGAGTAATACAAAGTGGTTTTTTTCTTAGTTTTTCTTAAGAATTTTAGTTATAATCATACACTTGATTTCACAAAATTAGAAGGATCCAATAAATATGGCATGGGCTAGCCAGTAAGACCTGACAAATATTATAATCCACCAACAGTTTCATTTTTAATTTTACAAAGTCAAAAGCAAATCAAAACTGTACTCTCTTCTGTCCTTTTCTTTCCTGTTGTACAACGCCCAGCACAAGAGTTATAGTCCATAAGTGGAACTCCAAGTCACTTTTTAGCATACGAATACAGAATGTTTTTACATCTCACTTAACAACAAATTTTATTTTTAATGCCACTAACAAACATCTCATCAGAATTTTCCCAGTGCTACAGCACCACTTTTGGAGTTCAATTACATTCTTTTCAGTATCTTCTTACAAAGATGCAATATGTTTGTATCTTACCTACTTGGGAATAATTATTTTCTTCTCACCCAAGCCTACCAGATCAGTCAGCCAGCAACAATCTTGTGTATGCAAAACTTATCTTTTATGTTTTATTTGTAATTGATGCTCTGCTTGATATTGAATAAGACATAAATAAGTGTATGTGCATCAATATACATACTCAAAAAAGCAAAAAACATTAGAAGCACACTTCATCTCTATAAAACACACAAGGAAAGATGTTGTCTCCAGTTTACTCTTGCCACATTATACGTCCCCAAAAATGGCTACACAGGACTTGTAGAAGAATCAATCATAAGTAGAATGAAAGCATTATCATACTCAATCTTAACTTGTATTTGTTTGAAAGTTACAGTGCATGAAGATGCCAGGATTAACTTCAAAGGAGAACATTTTGTTCCTGGGCTTTTCACTGTCAGAATCACTACTGGGAAGCCTATTGGCAGTAATCAAGACAACTTACTTTAGAGGATACTTCAATGTTATTTAATTTTCAGAACTATCTTTAGGTGCCTGAGGAACTTTAAAAAATTCAATGGCAGCATATCAATCATGCAAATGATAGAACTGGATTCTCCTTCAATCACATTTATGTTTATAAGCACCCGTTACCTAATACCTTTATTTCTCTTCCATATAACAGCAAGTGAGAAATCTAGTTTATTGTCAATTTTTGTCAAATGGTGAAACTCTCCTCAGGAAAAAAAAATAAAAAAAATAAAAAAATAAAAAAAATTAAAAAAAAAAGAACAACTAGGAGCACATTTGCTTAGAGTGAGAAAAAGTCATAGTACTTTGCATCAATAAGTAGTCTTTGTATAAGACAGTTACAGGCATGCCTTCGGTATGTGAGGGTGCATGGTACAGTGAAGCAACAGAAGTAGCAAGATTGGTTTTGATCCTGATGTGGATCAAACGTGAGTATCTTGCAATAAGCTTACAAGTATATATTCAGCTACTTTTAAATCCACTGTAAATGAATCACAGGCAGACTTGAATCAATTGAAACGTGCAGTGCAGGTACTGTGCATCATGCCTTGGAAGATATCTTTAAAAATCTACCTAAATTGAGCTGTTAGGCTCAGAATGTTTATACATAATGCCAACCTTCACAAACGCAAGCTTAAACACGTTGCCAGTGCTATTCACTTATCTTCTGTTTACTGTTTACCAACATAACTCTTGACAGTAGTTATGTGTACTTACCACTGTGCCTAGAAATTGAATGCTTGTCTTTCCAGATGCATCCCGAGACAGCCTCTGGGGGAAAAAAAAGAAACATCGTAAAAACTGATTAGAAGCTTCTCAAAAATTCTATTTTATTTGCAT